CCAAGGACCCGGCCCACCTCGACCAGGTAGTCTGGGTCCTCCGGAGGACCCGGCCTGTCGTTTTGGACACAGCTATAGAAATAGCAGGGATTAACTCATTATTAGCATTAGCATTGTTATCATAGGCTAATTCCTTAAAATAGCACAACTCACTCCTCACCTGGGCAGAAACAAGTCGACAGACATTTAAAGCTTCTTTAGATCCTAAATGTTTGACCCAACCTGAAACTAAATAATTGTAGCTTCAAGGCTTTTGAAAGTTTTTATCTGGCTATTCGTATAATACGAGGTCTGCAGCAGCAGATAGTTTATGTCAGTGGTGTCCAAAGGTGGTCCTCATGGACCGGTGTCCTGCATGTTTCAGGTGCTGCTCTGGTTCAACACAGCTGAGCCTAAGGAGTGCTTCATTAGTAGGTCTCCTCAGTACGCCATCATGGTCTGCAGAGGCCTACTAATTAGGTGCTCCTTAGGTTCAGCTGTGTCGAACCAGAGCAGCACCTGAAGCATGCAGGACACCGGTCCATGAGGACCACCTTTGGACACCACTGGTTTATGTCAACCRCCTCGATGTTGGGTAAATCCTCCAGATTAAATGACGTATTTTTTATTAAGACAATAAGAATATGCGTACGCATATTTTTGTGCGATATCTTGTCTGCGCCTGCCCATTTAGCACTAGCATACACTGTGATCCATTTCACTGTTTTGAACGGGAACAAATCACTTCCTGTCCCCCATCTGAATTTTGCTCATCATCCGGGTCACATGACTGGAACCCAGCAATAGTAYTACTAGTTTGTTTTCTTTTTTGTTTGGATTTTACAGAAACTAAAACCAGAAATATTCTGGTAAAATAAAAAATAAGTTAAGTGTGATTTCTTTCATGTTTTTTAAAGCAATAAAGGCACTTTTTTTTCTATTAATCCAGATGTGAAAAGTATTAAAATTAAAGGTTATATATTTAAAGACTGTCCAAGACTGTGTAGAAACATTAAGTTCTGTTTGAGTTAACAGCACTTTACAAACTTTAGTTGTTGTAACTGAACAGGACTCCACAGAGCTGGTGATGATGTTTTAGTTGAGCTCAATCTGCTCTACCTGTCCCAGGTTGATGTAAACAGCGTTCTGCAGGAACTCAGAGGCCTCTCTGGCTCTTTTCTGGATGGCAAGCACCCTGACCGCTTTAACACAGGCCTCCAGCTCGATCACGCCAGCATTTTTATACTGTCAGAGAGAGAGAGAGAAAAAAGAAGGAGGTTAATTATTCATGAAAAAATGTTATGTAATGGTTGGAGTTTTACAAACCTCTGATTCACAAATGACCATATTCATCATTCACTGAACACTCATCAAACAGGTGTCAGCCCTCCACTCACTCTTTTACAGACTTCCAGACATCTCTGCATTAACACTGAACATCTGAGGATCAACACGTGCTTTATCTTACATTTATAAGATACAGCCTCTCTTATTAAAGTCGATTAATATAAACTGGCTGTGTTGACATGTCATTTAATACAGAWTGAGTTAGTTATATGTAGAACAGAAGGTCAGCTCTAAAAATAAATTACAATAATGAAGATAAATCAGAGTTACTTCTAAAGCTCTACAACAGGGCCTACAAAATTCATAAAACACTTCCTGGTTGGACTCATCACTGTACAGTTCTTTCATTGTCTGAT